TCATGGAGCGGGATGGGGCCTCTGCAGCGCTGGCACGGGAAGCTCAGGTGCCGAGCGCCGGGCAGGGGGTGGTGAGTGCCGGTGGAACGGGAATTGGCCGATATATCCGCGTAGGAAGGGCTCAAGCTGAGGACTTGGGTCCGGAAATCCTGCTGATGGAATTGTGCCCATAGCGGTACGCCTATCTGTTCCCATTTTTTTTCTCTCTCTCTCTCTCTCTCTCTTTTTTTTTTTATCCCGGGAATGAGGGTTTTCCCATTTGTAACCTGGGAACAGCTTTTAATGATTATAAAGGGTTGTTACAGCCTTTAGTTAATTATTGCAGGTAGAGAGGGCTTGGTGTTAAACACCGAGGTGTTAAACAAAGTGAGGCGAATGTTAGACAAAGGCTTAAGATTTATGTTAAACAAAGGCTTAAGATTTATTACTAAAAGAACACGACAAGTGCATTTGAACTTTGTTGAGGAGACCGCAATATTTATTGATCAGTAGCTTTTGGCAGGGGGAGAAATTGTGCTGGTGACCTCAAGGAAGTAAACTAGGAGAAGATGTGTGTGAAGACATCCATGCTGCTGCGGGAACGTTGTTGTAAATCCGGGTCCTTTAATAAAGTTGTGACCTTGGAGTCAACAACCCGTATGGCAATATACGGCATGGGACCAGTCTTATAAATCTCGTGTAATTTTTGCCATCAAGATAGACAGCATGTAAAAAGAAATCGGGCTGCTGAAATTTATTGCATACACAACCGAAAAGCACATTCCTGAGGCAGTAACTTACTAAGAAGTACACACAAAAAAATCCAAGGGAATTTTGGGTGTGCAGGGAGCCATAAAGCTAACAATTTACATATTAATGTGTGACCCCTTGACTTCTGAGAGAACAGAATTTTTTAGTTGCTCCAAAAATAAAACGTTCCCATAAGTTCCACACTTTGCACCAGCTCTGTCCATCTTTCTCATTGAGAAGTTTTCATTTTCACTCAACGACAGATCTTAATGAGGAAGGACAGAGAATTTCCCAGCGCATGAAGCGCATCTTTCTGTTTCCCAAACAGAAGACCTTCTGATTTCAACAGGAACGAGTCAAGACCCAAAATCTGCCAGGCATTTCCTGTTAACAGATTCCCAATAAGGTGCTTTAATCAGTGTACGTACATTCTTCTATGCAAGAATGTAAATTTTAATTTCTTACAGATCAACTGCATCATAGAAAATAAAATGTAAATATATTTAAAAACTATTAATTTTATAATCTTAGAAAAATTATATAAAGCTAACTCACACAGCAAGAGAATACAAGTTAGTTAAAAGACCTCTTCAAAAGGTTTTAATAATTATTTACTCCTTGTTTTTTCCCAAGATGGCTTTTACTTACCAGCTTTGCTAATGATGGCCCTCATCCTGCAGACACAGGAGATGAAATAATGCACATTCATACAGGGTTATAGTAATACTGTTTTTAATACTAGGTGCTCTTATTTTTAAAAACATTTTTGGACTACAAAATTGAAATTTAATTAAAAATAATTAAGAAAAAACATAGCACTGCTTAAGTAAAAATGTTTTTAGATACAAGCAGGTTGCTGACACCACCTAATCGCAAAGCTAGAGTTCAGTGCCGTGGTTAACTGCAGAGCATCATCTTCCATCCTTCTCCAAGACTCCTTACGGGCTGTTTGGATGATTTACACACACGTGTTCAAGGAATGGCCTGTCTAGAACTCTCAGCGAGAACCTCTTCAATGATGTTTATGTCCTGAAAGAAGGAAAGAAAGATACTTTACTGAATAGCAAGATACCAATTAATGTGTTAATAGAAAGACATTTTTGACTGCTTAGCCTAAAAATCAACAAAAATAAAGTTTTTTGTAGGTTTTCACCAATGTTTGAAGTTTATTATTCATTACTCTTTGCCTAACTTTCTAATCTTTTCTTTAGCGCTAACTGCAATGTAAAGCAAGATAAATTTACTTAAAATAAGTAAAGGAGAATGTCAAATACAGACAGGTGGATGAACTGATTATGCAGAAAACAATAATTCTGATGCTATTTATTAAAGAGTCCAATTCCGGTGATATATTATTACATATATAGCTAAATGCTCAAGCTATACTTCATGAAGACAGATGTGTGAGCTATCATTACAACGTGGCCATACATACAGCTATTTCTCTTATGTGCATGAACTACGAGTCAAAATTATAACGATGCTTCTTCACTGCCCTCCTTTTTGTCCAATTAAAAAAATAGAAAGGAAAGGTTTATATCTTTATTTAGGATCTTGTCCAGGTAGGCCTCAAACACATAAAGGGGAGTATTAACTGGTGCTCCTGAGAGGCTCCAACAGTGTGCTGATACCTGTGATGCATTTTCTGAGTTACAGTCTGTTAAGGTAACAAATAGGTTCAGCAACTTTCAGGATTCAAGTAAATCTGTGTTGCAGAATAAAAATGGGTTGTTTAAACATTCTGAAGTATATGGAGTCATTTGGTATTTGTTTTTTTTTCACTAAATAGATGTTTTATTAGGTAAGAACAGAACTGAGGACAGAATCCATGTGTTGGCTCCTCTGAGTACCAGACTATGCTGTTTCCATAATTGTCTGCTACGCTTTGCAACTTCTCAGTGCACCTTAAGCATGATATTCTGGTTACCTATTCCATTTCTTATGATTTCTCAATTGTAAAAGATGTGGAGGAATCAGTAGGTTGCAAATATCATTGCTCACTAGTAGTCGTATGTAGAATAGAATGTGGATCTTAGCCGAAGATGCCTTATAAAATTTCTGCTGCGACAGCTTGGATCTCTCCCAGCTGTTAAGCAACAAATTGGACAATACTATAAATAAAGGGAAGGAGGTAAATACTGAGTTTTTCCTTGGATAATATTGTGTATTTTTTAAAAAACAGAATGTGAAATAAGTGGAGTCATTATGGCAAGCTCTGTTAGGCACAATGTCCTTGCAGCCTGACTGTTTCTCATGCTAATCTCAGCATTGTAGCTCGTGTTTGCAGACCCTCAAAGAGTGTCAGTCTCTGCACATCTCACAGGTAACTCATTCCGATCATGCCAGAGCCTGTGTGGAGTCCCCAGGCAGCGTCTTGGGGATCATAGACTGCTTCAGAAAAATGTACAGGATTGCGCTGGTCATCGATGACAAATTCATTCATCTGTGCACCTAAAACAAAAGCACCCTACAACACTTTATCAGAAGAAAATCTAAATTACTTTCTGTCAGTGGATTCTCTGTAGTATAAATAAAAGTTGCAATTGCTGTAACATTTGTTTCCTCAAGCAATATCATGAGAACACTATGCGTGTACTAAAAAGACAATTACTGTGAAATAATACCATGTGTGAATATACTTGTGTATAATCAAATCAGCCTTATGGCCCACTGTGATAACAAACAATACATCGAGAAATCCTCTGCCTTTCTTAAAATTAACAGAATTATCCATTCATTTAAGCATTTGTTTTGACATTTGGAGGAAGAGGATGAAACAGCCAGCAAGAATCACTTTATAGCCTAAATCAGATTCACTGAAACAGGGTTAAACATATCAGAACTTAAATATACCCAGAAGAGATTTTAGAATTAAAGGGAGGAGTCAGCGAGCCACAGAAGACAAGTGCTCCTCACAGTGTTCTCACTGCTCACTATGTGTTCATGGGCTGGTGTCTATACGTTATATACC